AATCCAGCCCGTATTGCTTGTCTATCTGGCCAGCTAAATCAGACCAATAGAGAGACCTCTTGAAGAGGCAGCCCTGCAAAGTGAAACGAATAACTGTGTCTGATATTGGAAAGATGCTTAATCCGACTTTATGAAATTTTCCATTTAAGACTGCAGTTAAATAGCATATAAATACATTTTGGATATAGCTTAAGAAATTTCAAATCATACTGTTTCATTCACTGTGGTGCAAAATGTAGGTTTACTGGGCAAAAAACGAGATCAATTTTGGTCCGTGTCTCATCGACCTTCGGGTATAGTAGATGATATTCGATTGTTATTGTTGTGACCCTTCCAGTCTCTCCCATCCAACTGCGACGTCTATGTAGAAGGTAGCTAGGAACGGTTTCGAAACGGATCTCCTAAAATAGCGAAGTACGCTGGAATATACATTAATGACAGCTACGGTTAACAGCAACCGTTAAGCCAGTTAATTTAACGAAGTCAGATAACAGATTCTGGCTTCTCGTATAATATAGGCCCCCTCATACTTACAAGACGTAGCCTTTATGAAGTTTGCTTTAATGACCAAAAGCTACCGTCTGTACAAATTTTTGTATTATGACACATGATGTGAAACTGTCTCGTATGTGAGCAACATGCTAGGAAGCTTCATCTTAAATTGAAACAATAAAATTTTATTTTGCTTCCCCCTCTCTTGTTTGGTTCGCTGCCATAAATGTTTGCTATCCATGAAACTTGTATCTGTGCGTGATGAATCATTATTTAGTTTTAGTGCATAAATGAAATCGTTACGAAAGGACTCATTTTTTCAACGCAGACATGATGTAGTAAAATAAGTATATCCAAAGACAAAACAGAAACTAGACGTCAACTGTAGCAGACTAACAGAATTATGGAAATATGATATTCTGGTATATGAAAATATCCTACTTAGCACAATAAAAAGTAACTTAGCATGTCAGTAATTCCGCAGGCTAACAATAGATGAAAAATGGAACAAGAGCAGAAATTAAGTAGGCAAATATTAGAAGGTACAACGATATACTGAAACAACAAAAATAAAAGAAACAAAAGTAAAACAGTTATTGCAGTTCACGCTTTCATTCATTTCGAAAAGTCCAAAATTCCGTTTTGGTTGTGGAGACAACTGTATCAGGCGGTAATTCTGATAGTCATAGAAAGCTGCGAGGCAGTTAGGTTCAATGGGATGAATTCCAAGCCCTCACAATTCCAGTTATTTTACGTAATTTAGCTATTTGATTTTTCATCTGCTTCTGGGCCGACCTCCCTGCAACTGTAATGAAAGAGTTCCCTATATAATCAATAAACTTTCAGTTATGATGACGTTGCCGATGCTAGTGATGAAACACGTGAACTGTGAGCAAAGCGTATTACGTTTGAGTTTCTTAGCCATGCATCAATAAAAGAGTTTTTAAACCCATTTAGTGAATTGGCTTCATCTATTCGTTCGACTCTGTCAATGCTGACTTGCTACTTCTATACTCTTTCCTTATTTGAACTATCTGTGATCTACGCGTTGTCTTGCAAGTACTACTCACTGCCATTACTGACTAGTGTTTTGTACCACGCTGATCTACAATAGTTTTTGATAATTGGCAGAGTAACGATTGTTTTAAAAGTGATGAACTTAAAGTTCATAACGGCTCTTGCTCGAAGTTAGTGAGTGACAGCAGTTGGCAGCCGATGCTCTGTAAGAAGGATGGTCAAATTTTTGATCAGCAGTCTCTGTAGTTTTTCGATCAGTGTTGGTTATATAGTATTCTTGTATTATAATCTAAATAAATAACACTGAATTATTGTAGCAGTAACTTTCGAGCGTACGTTGTTGTTCGCTTTTCTGAAAGTAGCACCGTTTTAATAATACAGTAATAAATTGATTTTCAGGTAATATTCATATGGTATTGCCTTGAAGGTTTTTCGTCATATATATATTGAACGCGGAGAATGGTTGCCGTCCATAATTCGCAAGGTCCTGCTGGTGCAGCAGCTTCTTCGGTGGACCGATTGGTCAGCGACTGTGTTCATACACTGTGCGCGGAGCTAACGGCGAATGACGATGGCTTTGCTCAGCTGAACACTGTTCTAAAGCACCATCGTTTCCAGACACTCTTCGATTTATACCAAATCGTGTCGCGACATTATTCGGCTAAATTAAAGCCGTACCGCGAGAATGCGGCCCGCATTGTACAAGAAGTCGAGTTAGAGGTGAACGGTGTCGGTACAAGCAGGGGGAGTACGAACGTCGAGGCGACCGCAATCGAATTGCTTGAGCGCCTGTCATCGCCTAACTTCCACGCCCTCATCGAGGCGCATGACACCGTTGCCGCTCACAGCTTCGAACTGTCGCTGATGGACATCCCTTACGAGGTGGACGAGGACGACGGCGCTGCGGTCAGGATCGTCCGATTGATGAAGAAGAACGAACCTTTGGGTGCGACGATCAAGGTATAATAATCCGAACCAATTGACCATCCACAAGGTCTTTTTGGCGTTTCTCGTTTGTTTCGGCGTTTCTCTGCTTGCATGAAGTTGAACATCTGTCTGTGTGACGATGTCCAGAGGGACACGGCTAAATTTTAATTGAGGTTGCTGTGTAAAAAAAAGCAATTCGACATTCTGACTGTGAAAATCCCTATTTCATCATTGTCTTACAAAAATAACGACTGTAGTAACAACAAAAAATATTATGCCGAAGTAGCGCCATTTCTTCCGGTTCTTTCTAAATTCACCACCGTGTTCACG